TTTTTTTTTTTTTTTTCTTTTTTTTTCTGGGGGGGGGGGTCTCTTCTATTTAAATGGAGAAGATGGGTCAAACACAATTTTATAGAAGCTTAAAAAATAAGATGGACTTTTTTAATAAGAAAAATCAAAAAATAAGGAAGAGCTTATGCTCCTATATTTTGAAAAATGCAAATGCACAAGCCAACATATCACAACTATCATCACCCCTGCTTCTCTGTGCACAGAACCATCCTTGGCAACTGTAAAACCTCACTGTCACACCCTCATTGTCTCCAAAGCCATACAAGCCAAATCACCAAATAATCATGAATAGCCATATCTACCATGTTGGACTACTATTACAAATTAGACCCATGCCCTTGCCTCCAGCAACAACCTTTGCAAATTTGTTTGTCGGTTGTCAAACTGAAGCTAACAAGTCCTAAGCCACACAAACTGTTCCACCATGTGAGACACTGCTACTCTTCCATGAAATCATGTATTGCATTTTCTCCCAGTCCCCATGTGCATGCATCATCTCTTTCTCCTCTATGCCATGTCTTTGCCTTTCCAATTTCCCCCTTTAGATGTAGATGAGACCTAGGTTTAGGTCTTTTCTATTTTTATTTTTTTTTTGGTTTCCTTTCCTTCCCTTTTTTGAAGTATCCTTTTAAGATAAAAATATCTAAAAAGACCAAACAGCTTCAGTTTTACCTTTTAAAGGTATTACTTTGAACATTAAAGTAGCTTTTAAGATAAAAGGAAAAAAGTCAAGCCAAACACTATTGTTGGGATCATCACAAGAGGAACTGTTGTAAGGGCCACACTTCAAATTAAATGTGCTAGCATTTAAGATTGAGTTAGTCCAAAACCCAAATTCTAAAATGGGGTCAGAACATGTCCTAGTAATTTTTGTTAGGTCTACGAAGTCTTCCGTTACCAAGTCATTATTAAACCACCTGCAAATGTCTAGTTTAGTAAACTTCACACTTGAGATGTTCAATCCTTGATGTGAAGAAATGTTGGAGATCTCATATTGACTAGTGATATGACCAAAATAATATATACAAATAGAGGACAACCCTCACCTCTTAAGCTAGCTCTTAGGATTGAGTTAGGCTCAAATTCATATAATAGGATGGCATCAAAGCCTATCTAGATCTATTGTTGGGTCACCTACATTGCAATGCTCCAAGCTAGTAGCCCTAGGAGTGAGGGAGAGTGTTGAAAAATCACCTTAATTGCAGTCACCCCTTGCCCACCTTAGTTGTGACTCCTGTGGGGTTGCAATCATTGCAGCCTCCAAGGTAGTGTTTAGTCTCACATTGACTAGAAATAGAGCTTAAATAGAGCTTAAAAAGTTTCACCTTACAAGCCAATTTTGTAAGGTATAATTGGGTCATAAGCCCAAATTCTAAGAACTACCATGGTATCAAAAGCTTCTATAACCTAGAGGTCAGGAGTTCTGTTTGCACTCATTCTTCATTGTTAAGTTTAATTTTAGTACAAGTAGAGTGGGCAAGTAAATTGCCTGCATTTCATGCCCTAATGGCTATGGGGGGCATGTCAAAGATATTAAGCCAATCTTGTATCTTCACATAATAGCTTAAAATTTTAAGAAAGTTGATCCTTGACGATAGGAATTTCAATATTAAGGCCAGTATTTCTATTTTAATAAAAGAAAAAGGAGATGCTGGGCAAGAAGACACTGCCAGTAAATATAATTAAAAAATAGTGCTTCATGTAAAAAGGACTTATAATGATACCTGATTGTTTGTCAGTTTCATAGTGATGTTTTTCTGCATAGGAAAGCACTGCTCCACATCTAAACCATTTATCCCTAAATAAAGGAAACAGGGGACAAAAGGTATAATTAATAGGACAATGGCACTAGAAAGTTCAAAAAAGAAATTGTCTCTTCTTTCTTGTCAAGAAAGGAGATCGACAACAAGAGGGAGAGCAAGCGACGGGGGAATTCAAATCTGTCTCCCTTTTCCTTTGCCTCAAATTGAACAATGACAATTCAACAAAAACAGATCTCTCTTTTAAATGGTAATACCTTCTCTCTTGGTAGTTAGTTTTTTTAATGATTTATCATTTATCAATATTCAATTGGAAGGTAGGGAAAGGAAAGGAAAAGGGGATATAAGATTTGAATCTGTGAACTTGTAATGTCAAAGTGATTCACGCACTATTGAGTCAAAACAAAGCACAATAGCATGCAACGAAGAAACATTACCCATTCATGAGTTCAGTACCATCTATTACAAGATAACCAAAGAAACCATCACAGAAGAGCGTGCAAATTAATGGAAGAGGTGGAAACATTAAAGACACTATTGAGCCAAAACAAGAGCCTGATCCTTTAGATATTTTGACACTAATTTAATAATGTGAACTTGGTAGAGCTCCAACATTTCATTCATGCTGACGGATTATAAGGTATACTCAAATACAATTTCTTGGCATTGCACAAAATGAGTTCACAAATACTTGCAGAGAGAAATTTAAGACAAACATTATGTTTTTGAACTTAAATTTCAAAAACGGTATAATTAGCTTTAGTTGAATGTATTTAGGAGGGTCCCTACCAGAGACGGCTGAATCTTTCAGAGATGTGTTTAAGGCATCCGGCAGTGGAGGACTTCCATCTCTAAAGCATATTATTGGCAATGTGCTCATTGGAACCCTTTCAGTTCTTGAAACATCCTGAAAATGACGTGTCTATGAAATATGAACAAATGAGGAAAGCAAAAGCCAGAGACAACTAAAAGGAAAAATGATATTCTGAAGGGCACTCCATGGACTTTTTCTGTTGCACAACCAACAATGACAAATAGAAAAGTTACATAAGAAAATGAAAATTGTGAAGGGACATTTAAATAGGATTTTTTTATCATCAGAGAACTATAACATTTGTATTTTTATCTCATAGAATATGCATTGTAAAAGATGAGATATCAAAATAGAAAAATATGAAATCATCCAAAAGCAACAGCCAACATATAGATGCTTCCACTCTGAGGTGATCTATTGGGAACCAATGCAAGATATGAGACTTGAGTCCCACACCGGAAGTATGGGATTCTAGTGTGGGGTTTATAGGACTTTGAGCTCTCCAATTTCAACAACCAGCTTTTGCGGTATGGCTCTCCTAAGTTTCTAATCAAATGATATCAAAGTCTTCCACCATGTCTCAGCTGCAAATGGTGGTGACACCAACATTTTAGTGTTTGCCTAGTGTAGGAATTATAAGGATTTGGGCTCTCCAACTACAACAACTAGTTTTTGTGGTGTGGTTCTCTCAAGGTTCTTATCATGATCCTATCTACAAAGAAGTATGAATATACTTACAAGGTCTACATCTGAGTTCAATGCAATAGACAGTGCAGAAAACCATGGCGGCAAGTCAACTGGAGCAATAGAAAACATTAAGAGACAAGTAAGATCATCCATAAGTCATCCAAGTCCTTATATATCTAATACGAGTTGCTTTTAATCTTTAATAAATAGTAAAAAATAACATAACTCAAGACCATATGACTATTTGAGTCACCAAAGCAGAAGGAAAAAATTAGCTTCTTCAGTGATACTATCTCACCTCTGTCTCCATTTGATACTAGGTAAAAGTAAACGACACCAAACTGATTATTATCCACTTCTTGCTTATAAAGGGATTCTAATGATAGTAGTTAAAGTAACAAATTCAATGAATCACAAATTAGAGAACAAATGACAAACACCCAATCACATCAGATTATATCATATGCTTCAAGTCAATTCAAGGTTCTTACAGTGTTAAGGCTACACTTATCAAACATTGCCATATAATCTGTACATGCACTCTGAAATTTCTATCAGAATGATTAACAGAAAAACATATGACTCGTAGTTCAACAAAATCAACTCCTTCATAACATAAAACAAGAAAAAAGAAAACAATTACATTGATGCTAGTCTCCTAAATTTCCTTAGGCTTAATTCTTAATTCTCACCTTAGCCCTCTTATATAGAAATTAGAAAAACAGACCAACGGTATAGTCCTTTCCTTAGAAATTCAGCAGACGTAGTAAGATCAAAGGAAAACATGCAGAGAGAGAGAGAGAGAGAGACTATTCTCCAAAAAATTCACCTTTACATTGAAATCCAATTGCAACCCATGAAAATTCACACTACACAACTTCATGAACAACACACACAACAACAAAGCAAACAATAATCACTATGAAGAAAAGGATCACTGCCAATTGGCTCACACACCTCTGATATAGCGCAAATCAAAGGGCCTGAGCCTAGTCTCAGGGTATCTGAAGCTTGAAACAGTAAAGGTTTCACCTTTACCAGTGCCCACTTCACCATTTGCAGAGAAAACGCCGAAGGAACAGGAAAAGAGCACCAAAACAGTGAGAAGCAGATTGGGATGACACCATAGGATCAAATTGAAGCCCATCTTTTTATCACTGTTCCTGTGATTTTCAGGCAATTCTCAGATCATGGAGACGCCGGAAAGTGAGTGACACAAAAGGGGTTAGAGACTTTATTAAATAATAATGAGAAATCTTTGTCAGTGAGAATGTGGTAAAGACGACTAGTGTTTGGGAATTATGAGTCAGTGGCTAAGTATTAATAAATAATCATATAATTGACACAAAATCTATGATACTATGATGCTTTTTTCTTAGGACTTAGTTAACTCTTGTTGGGTTGACTTGAGTCGACGGTGTTAGACCTCGGTTACTTACAACATGTGTGGTTTGTTTGGAATTTTGTGAACAAATACTATTTTAGTAGTATTTTCGCATAACAAATAAAAATGACAGATAAAGAGGGAGAATAAAATTAAGCATATTGAATAATAACTTTCTAATAATATCTATATATATATAGACTCTTAATGAGAACATCTATTAATACGTAACACGAAAATAACTAATAATATTTCCTATCATGATTCTTTTATTTATTCTTTTTAAAGAAAATAAGACGTATTTATATTTAATCACAAACCTTCACAAGGAAACAAGATTATGTCACACTGTAATTTTATTATAAATAATAATACAAGATAAATTTATTATCTTTATAATAATTAGTTGATTTATTAAAAAAATTATATTTGATATTATACATTTATTAAATTATTATTTTTTATACCAGAATAGTATAGCTGTAGAGAAAGAAATTTACTTAAAAAGGTGTAACATGAACTAATTTTATTATGTTTCACTAATTATATTTTTTATGTTAATTTTAAGAATACTTTTCAAATCAATATTGATTGGGATAGCGATTCAATAGGTCTCAACATTTATTATAATTCAGTTATTATGTAACGAAAAAATTAAACAATAATTAACTAATCTATGATTATCATGTGACAGCCATTTGGACATATATGCAACATTTATTGTATATGATATAGAAAACGTAAAACATTTCATGCTAATTAGATTGAAAACGTAAATCCTCTAATGGGTCATATATATACCCTATACATATATATAATATATACATAAGATACTAAACTTTACACAAAATAATTTTATCGTTGATCAATGTCGAGTAAGCTTATGAAAAGAATCAACATAACATCAATAGAGTAAATTGATCACATAAGCAACTTAAATAACAACATATGACTATCTCACAATCACAACTTCAATTATCACTGACTACCAAACATACAACTTTCAACACAACATGTAGCAACTTTAACATATCACATTTTCAACATTAGTATCAAAGATCAACTAATGCATCATCACACATATCAATAACGAAGATCTTTTACAACAGAGGTGAGCAATTTAAGTGACTAAACTCTACCAACGTTAGGCCTTAAAAAGTGTCAAACATACAACTTAAATTGATCTCTCAAGTTTCGTTATTCAAATTAAGAAATCTAGTATTTTTTGTCATGGTAGAACAACTTGAGTATGAGTCTACTATGACATTAACTTGCAACACTAAGCCCCCTATGGAATTATCCCACCAACTATCATCCAAATAGTATGCCCTTCTAGTACTTAGTTGGAGACTAAGTCCTCAATTTTGTACCTTACTTAGTTGCTCACTTTATACATGTATGTCTCAACCTAATCCACATAGAGATTCTACATAAAACATAGAGGAGACAACTTAAAACAATTACTCATTCAGAAGCCAACTTACTTTTTGAAGTAGGTCTTCGGAGCACCACATCTTATATCCATACAATGAGATATTTTAATTTTTAAAACAACTTTTACTCTCCTTTAATTTTTATGTATCTCAATAAAGACATGTATCTACACCACATGTCTAATAGCTTAACAACTTGATCAACTATAGCATCATTCAACTTTACAACTTCATCAACTATCAACTTACAACTTAGCAACATAAATATCATTATATAGCATATCAACTCAAAACATGATAAATTATCATCATACAATCTTCACCATACAACTTAATCATCATTCTTCAACTATTAGACAACTTAAAATATCACATAAAAATCACACAACTCATGCTTGATGTCATCCCTTGGGCGCCTGGTGCCATTGAGACAAGGGGCTTCCTGTGTTGCTCGTGCATGATGCTAATCTACTCGCATTCGACATGGCTAAGACAAATAGCCTCTCATTCTCTTGTGCCAGCATGGAAAAATCCATGTCTAACCATGATCAGGCAGAGGGTCTTTGCCTAAGTCATGTTTGACTTTACTACTTTGGCACCCAACACCAATTCATGTATAGATGATTCTTTCTTTTTACTTCCGACACCACCAATCATGTGCTCGACATTAAGAAGATAAAAATCCTTGACTTCGAGCCACACCCAGTGCCATGAAGGCATGCCTAACACGATGATAGTTTTTGCACTTGGTAGAAACTCAAATTGCGCAAATCTTCCTTAAACTTAGAATTTACCAACATGCAACATGTAATTCTACATCTAAACATCATAGCTCAAAAATAGGGTCAAGAACAACATGCACCCATTACACTTCCAAATCACCAAGTTCTACTTTGAAACAACTTCAAGAACCACAACTTCATCAATTATCATATCATGCATTCAATTAATATTCAAAATACAAAGTTTTCTTTACCTTTAGTCGATCAATCGAGAAGAGGAAAAGGAGAAGAAAGGAACTTTGTACGACCTCCGACTTGAGATTTTCAACCTTGAGAGCTCGAATCTCCAACTTAGTCAAGTGGATCAACTATAGGGAAGAAAAAAGGGAAAGATTTCAATTTAGAAAGATGGAGAATGACATTTGAGCTCCAGAAAACTTCTCACCAACTTTTCTGTATAATTTTTCTTAAAACATGAACTTATAAGGTTTACGTTTTAAGAAAAAAAATTATATATTTTTCCTTAAGCTGAACCAATTTAACTTTGAGTCAACTACCCTAGATGCAACTTAAGTCTCAAGGACCCTGGACTTTTAGAGTTCTAAAACAATAACGCTAACAGTTAATCATTAATTAAGTTAAAACATCCTAAAACACACAATGTTATAGGTTGACATAAGTGATAGTGAATTTTATCCCTTAACTAAGATATCCAAGATTTGAATCTTGGTCTGGAATATAGATTAAAAGATTAGTTATTATATTTAGCAATTAGTCATATGTGTGTGAAAATAACAATTTATATAATCCCTTTTATAACTTTTAATTTATAGGTTGATGTAAAAAAGTTAATTTATAGGTAGATATTTTTTTACACTTTAAAATTGAGCTAAAACAATCCAAAATCTCCAATAATGACGAGTTTATTAAAATAAATTAAATTTTAAAAGTTGCAAGAGTCTTAATTTGTATTGTTTTAACAGGAATATTTATGTTATATATATATATATATATATATATATATATTATTTATTTTCTTTTTTAGTTTTCTTTTCTTTTACTTTCTTTTCTATTAAACAATCCAAAAATTTAAGTACTAGTATTTTGGTTCCATAAGATACGGAAATGAATATGAAAATAAATGCCAACATAATAAAAGTGTAAAATGGAAATTTTTTCATGTATTGAATGGCTATTATAGTACCATGCCCAAATCCAAACTAAAAGATTACTATACTAATTTGAACTATCATAGTAAAAACAAAAAACAAAAAAACTAATGACTTAATTATGGGTATTCAATTTGACTTAATTATAACTACTCAACTATTAGATTATAAGAAATATCTCAATGAAAAGATATTTATTGAGCAAAATTTTGGATTAGTTCAATTAAGACTTGATTGAGATATTTATTATTATTTACAAAGTTTTTGACCAAAGATTGACACCCACGTTAAGACAACATCCTTTTTCTCTTCTCGTTTTCATGATTTCGTCATTCCCCCTCCTAAAGTGAAATAGTAGAAGTCACTCAAACACCACCCTAAGTAATATCTCCCCTAACCTTATGGACCCATTCTAGTAGTTGTATGTACCTCTCCTAATAAAAAAATATTAAATAATAAAAATGGTCCAAAAAGGCCATATTAGCAACTTTTACTTTTCCATTTCCTTTCATATAGATTATTTCGGTCCTTTCTTCTGGACTTAATTTTAGGTGTCTCTAGCATTTCCATTGTCCAATTTCAGAGTTTTTTTTCATAAAAAAAAAAAAAAAAATCAGACTGCAACTTAAACAAAATTTCCTGTGGGTGTCCATCGCAATTGGAAAAGAAAGAAAAAATGCAAAATGTTTGACACATGAAAACATCGTAAGACCTGCTTTTCTAGTCTAAGAACCACGGTAGCTAAAACAAAATTAATGGGCTTGTATACCATCTTTTAGTGGAGGATAATCATACAAGTATTGGACTTAATTGTATTTTTTTTTCACTCATCTTTTATTTATTAATTAATTAATTTTTAAATTTTGTCATCCAATTTTCGAAATTGCATATTTTATTATCAACTTTTAAAATTTTGTATATTTTGTTACTCCATTAATTGGCCAACAACGTTAACATTACGTATTAATTATTGATATGATATGTTATCTGTAACATTGTCAATTCATAACTCTTATTATTTGATTGGTAGTCGCTATTGAAAGCTCTAAGGTCAGATTACCTAGAGAGCAAGTTGATATTTGGAATACTAGACCGGAGAAAGAAGGAGTCGGCTTAGGAAGGTATAAAAGGAAACTTTTTAAAAAGAAACTCATAATTCAAGTTTTAAAAATTGTAGAGAAAAGTTACACTGCAAAAAAATGTTACATACAGTGACATACAAAAAGTGTCACTATAGGTATAATGTATGTAGCTATTTATCTATTTGACATATATAACTACACACAATTTAGGTAAAGATTTTAAATGTAATTTAATAACATATTTTGTGTATCATTATAGTCAATACCAACACTTTTTAATAATATACTAACATATATTATATTTAGTGTGTAGGTAAAAATACTTTTTAGTGACACGTATTATGTCACTATAGGGTGTGTGTCAGTATATAGAAATTTTCTTATAGGGTTAGAAAAAAAATTATCTCCTCATTCTTCCTTCTTTCTTCTTCCTTCTCACTAGAATCCTTCCTTTTTTACCATTTTCTTAGCTAATTCTAGGAGAGGTTGTGAAGAATCCAAGTCCCAGGTTAGAACTTCAAGTTAATGGTATGTAGAG